TTTTTTATTTTTAGCTGAAGCTCTGATACCACTTGTTGGGAAAGATGGCGAAAAATAAAAGAGCCAATAAATAAATATGGCACTCCCAAGATCTGACTTCTCCCAGCCTTGTGTAAATAAAATGGGCAAAATTAACACTCTATCTTCCACTAAGAAAAAATAATGGGAATACAATAATAATATCACCAAACACCGGTGGCTAAACTCTTTCTTGGGTTTTCTCTCAAGACGATTTTCTCTCTCACACAAGTGAGGTTTTCTTATCTCTCAAAACTCTCTATGTTTTGGTTTTCTAAGGGATGCCTATAATTGAAAGAATGCAATTGCTTTTATAGGCAAACGTCCCTAACTAATTGGTGGCCGTGCATGAAAGAGAATTCTTCTCATTTTCTCTTCCATTCATTTTCTTCAAATTTTCCCGTCCTTTCTTTCATTTTATTTTGATCTTTATTTCCTTCTTTTTCTCTCCTCCACTAACGAGGGAAACCCATCAAGTGCGACTGCAATATTAAATAGATATAGATGTTTGCCGATCATTTTCTTGTTCTTGGAAGTTGGATTTAGATGTTTGTCATTCTCATTTGATTGTTCTTGGATCTAGACGTTTGTCGATCATTTGCTTCCAGGCTCCATTAGTACAAAGGTCATACAATGTCATGATGTTGGGGGAATTCAAGCTACTTTAACCCAAAGTTCAAGATTGCACGTTGACATTTAGGAGGAAGGCCATGTATTGAACGGGGATCATCCGATTGTTACTTTTTCAACTCTGTATATAACAGAGTTATTATTGTAATCAGTCATGATGAAAAGATCAATATACAAATCTCTCTAAAAATACTATGTCTTTCTTCTTCAACTCTCTCTCTCTCTCTCTCTCTCTCTCTCTCTCGCTCTCGGTTTGTTATTAGGAGCCCTAGTCATTAACAATCAAGTTAAGTGCTCTGTTCAACATTGTCCAAAAGGGTTTCTGCTAAAATTGGTGGACATTGTTGAAGAATGAGTCCCACATCGGAAACTTGATTAAATAAAATAAAATATATAATGAATGGTTCTACTACTGATATCACCGATGCCTTCTGTGATAAAACCCCACACCAACTGGGCTTTGTAATTGGAGACAATATTGGTGTTGCTAGTAGTGGGCGGATGACCCGTCTCTCTGAATTTATCATGGTATCAGAGCAAGTTGATTGACTGGGCCTGAATTGGGCCTCTATCATTACCCAATATGTAGTGTTCACATGTTGGGCTTGAATTTTTACCCTTACCCTTTACCCAATACATGGTGCTCACGTGTTGAGCGTGAATGTTTGACTCCGATGTGGACTTGGCTCCACGTGTGGCCTGCTATGTGGTGGTCTCATGTGAGGGGGCTTGTTGAAGAATGAGTCAAACATCGGAAACTTAATTAAATAAAATACAATATATAATGAATGGTTCTACTACTAATATCACCGAGGCCTTTTGTGATAAAAACCCCACACCAACTGGGCTTTGTAGGTGGTTAAGTTGGGGACAATATCGGTGTTGCTAGTAGTGGGCCAATGGCCCGTTTCTTTGAATTTAACAGACATTACTTTCCCAACCAATTTGGACTTCTAATAAGCCACTATCAAGCTGACTAACAAGTTTATGAAAACTAGGTTCATCTGGGTCTGGCATATCAAGTTTTTTGTTTGTTTATGGTTACAAGAGATATTGGGAGGAGGGAATCACATCTAGGACCTCGAGTGCAAGGATAGATGCTCTTACCCGCTTGAGCCACAACCCCTTTGCTAGCCTATCAAGTTTTCATTATGGCTCTACAAATGTTTGTAATATCCAAGAGACAGCCGTGATTGGCCTGCAGGCCTTGATGGAATTGCATATGTTGGAGCCTTTATGCCACACAACACTATATATCTGCAAGTAATGGGCAAGAACTTGAACATTTCTACAAATTGAAAAGAGAGAAAATGCTTGTGATTGCTTTTCCAGGAAGACCTTCATTCTTGTACTCCACACACAAGATTTAGCACACAATTAATATATAAACTTTGGTACAAGGCATTTTGCAGCTCACAAGTAAGCCTAATACAATCTTAAAATCCACAAAATAGAGCATTGCAACCTTAACCAAATACAAAAAATCTGTTTACAAAAAGGCATCTTCTACATGTGCCCAGAACAGGATATTGAATTATGAAAGGAAAGAATGACCAAAAGAGAGCCACACATTTAAAAGGAGAAGCTGACCCCCAATTTCCAAGGAAAAGTTGTACGTTGCAAATAGATGACCAAAACAGAGCCACACATTGTAATTTGAAATCAAGTCTACTTTGGCTTTGGTTTAGTTGATTAAAATAACAATATAGCTGGAATTAATACATTAATTGGAGTGAGCTTGGATTAAAATGGATATGTTTATTTCTCTCAACAAACCAAAAAAAAAAAAAATCGGAGAACTCCAAATTAATTGTTTTGACAAGTAATTAACACTAATATAACTCATATTTATTCCTACTAAGCACTCCAAATTAACTCATAAACTCTTCTCCAGATACCTAAGCGTGCGCGTACTGGCAATCTTCAACACTTGAACTGAAAGGAGGCATTCAGCTACAGCTACTTTTCTCCTAATTTAGATGCTGCAGCTAAATATCAAAGTAAACAAATTAATACCCGTCAATTTGGAGAAAAGTACAAATGCAATAAGAAAATAATTATAAAACGAAATTAACGATGAGAGAGAAAGAGTACCATTGCGAGCTTATCTATTAGGCATATGCTAGCTTTAGTTGCCTCTTGATCAAAGCTATCTTCACATAAAGCCAATCATTTAAATCATTCAAGAACTTGAAGTATGTATATCTCCATGGCCTGTTGAATATCAAAGTGCCGCAAACTCCCCAAAATCCAGCAGCAAACCCAATCCCCAAACTGATGTAAAATCCCAGTGTTATAAACTCATCCTTATCCTCCTCATTGCTCAAGTCAGTTGGCTCATTTTGATTAACACACATCTTTTTAAGTGGAGGTCCACAGAGTAGAGGATTTTCAGCATAATCAAGGGGATCAAAGCTTTGGAGCTGAGTGCCTGTTGGTATTTTGCCAGACAAGTTGTTATATGACAAGTCCAAGAAACTAAGACGATCTATCCGAGCAAGGCTTGTCGGAATTCTTCCATCTATCTGGTTTCTTGACAAATCAAGAGAATCCAATGACTGCAAATTTCCAATCCCTGGAGTTATTTGACCTGTTAACCGGTTTCTTGAAAGGTTTAAAGAAACCAACTCAGCAAGATAAGTGATTTCACATGGAATCTCCCCTGTTAATCTATTGCTTGAGAGATCAATTCTCTTCACAAGGCCCAAAGTGCTTTTGTATGTCTGCATTCTTCCTTTCCATATAAAGCTTGCATCATCCTCATAATTAGTTACAGCAAATGAGCCCTCACCCGTAACTCTGTAATAAGAATGTGTGCTGGATAGACTTGGGTTTCCTTTTTTAGCCAGAGTAGTCAAATTGTTGAGGCATTTGGGTATCCTTCCAGAGATGTTGTTCACAGAGAAATCCATAATTTGAATTCGTGTTAGATGACATAATTGCGAGGGCATGCTTCCATTGAAGTGATTAGAGGAAAGCATCAGAATAACCAAATTCTTCAAGCTGAACCCTAACCATTTAGGTATTGAACCTGATAATTCATTATCTCCCAGATCAATTACCTCTAAACTTCTGCAGTTCTTCAAGGATGAAGGCAATTCTCCAACAAATCTGTTGCTTCTTAATTTCAAAGTTTGCATTTGAAATAAAGAGCCTATTGCCATGGGAATTTTTCCGGAAAAAGCGTTGTTACTCAAATCAAGCATGACTAGATTCTCCAAATGGCTCCAGCAATCTGGAAGTTCTCCAGAAAAACTGTTGCTTGAAAGATTAAGAAATGTTAAATTCATATCCGCACTTGCACATAGGAAAGAAAGCGACCCTGAAATGTTATTATTAGAGAGATCCAGATACGAGGCTTGTGATAGAGTTGAGGGAATTGGACCTTCTATTTGGTTCGAACTCAAATGTAGTTCTGGGTAATGTGCAAACTCCAATGTCAAATTTGTAAATATTCCTCTGATTTGGTTTTGTGAGAGATTAATAATGTCTGCTTTACGAAGATTACTCCAAAACCAACTTGGAAGGATATCAGAAATTCCAGCATTAGAAATATCAAGGATGAAAGAATCATTTTGAGTTTGAAGCCATTTTGGGAAAAGAGGACCGACATTGCAGGACGCCAAAAGTATGTAACCCAACTTGAAGGGAGGAACCCAATCAGAATGGAAATTTAAAACTAGTGAGTTATAGGATAAATCCAAATAATATAAATCGGAGAGTTTTGAGAAATGAGTTTCTGAAACCACCCCTTTCAAAGAGTTTATGCTGAAATCGATCTTCATCAGTTGCGACATTTGCCCAATACTTTCAGGTATTTTTCCGCTTAATTGATTGGCGCTAAGATTCAACCATTTCAAAGATGAGAAGCTTGTAAGATTGTTTAATGACCCCTTAAGAACATTCTCAGAGAGGTCCAGACCCCCTAATGAGTTTTGAGCACATCTAGGCAATAGTTGAACAAACTTGGATAATTGTCCACTCAGATGATTTCTTTGAAGCCGCAATGTTCTCAAATTACACAGCCTTGCAAACGAATTTGGATTCGCTCCATCAATCTGGTTATCAGAGAGATCCAGATACACAAGAGAGCTCATGTTTCCAATGAAATCGGGAATGAAACCAGTTAGATAATTGTTGGAGAGATACAGATACACAAGAGAGCTCATGTTGCCAATGAAATCGGGAATGAAACCAGATAGATTATTGTTGGAGAGGTCAAGACTAACAAGGCTTGTACTGTAGTTGGACAACCAAAGAAATATTGAAGAAGTGAGATGGTTGTTAGAGAGACGAACATACGCAAGAGATGTAGAAGAATTTGTTTTGTAAAGAGTAGTGGAAAGAATTGGAGTAGGAGGAGGAGGAAGACTACAGTTCTCCAAGGTCAACTTTACTAGTTTAGGGAGGAGAAAGAATTTGTCTGGCCAATCGAAAACAGTACTGAGATTGTTTTGGCTTAGGTCCAAATACGTTAAAGAAGAAAGAGCAGGGAGCCAATTGAGATTTTCTGGTTGAAGCTGAGTATGGCTGAGGTCGAGATTTTGCAATTGCCTGAGGTTTCCAAACGAACTTGGAATTTGACCAACCAAATTACAGGAAGAGAGTCTGAGGTTTCTTAGATTGGTTAGAGAACCAATGAAATCGGGAATTTGGCTCCCATTGAAGTTTCCGCTTAGGTCCAAATCCGTTAAAGAAGAAAGAGCAGAGAGCCAATTGAGATTTTCTGCTTGAAGCTGATTAAGGCTGAGGTCGAGATTTTGCAATTGCTTGAGGTTTCCAAACGAACTTGGAATTGGACCGACCAAATTACAGGAAGAGAGACTGAGGTTTCTTAGATTGGTTAGAGAACCAATGAAATCTGGAATTTGGCTCCCATTGAAGTTTCCGCTTAGGTCCAAATACGTTAAAGAAGAAAGAGCAAGGAGCCAATTGAGATTTTCTGGTTGAAGCTGATTATCGCTGAGGTCGAGATTTTGCAATTGCTTGAGGTTTCCAAACGAACTTGGAATTGGACCGACCAAATTACAGGAAGAGAGACTGAGGTTTCTTAGATTGGTTAGAGAACCAATGAAATCTGGAATTTGGCTCCCATTGAAGTTTCCGCTTAGGTCCAAATACGTTAAAGAAGAAAGAGCAAGGAGCCAATTGAGATTTTCTGGTTGAAGCTCATTATAGCTGAGGTCGAGATATTGCAATTGCGTGAGGTTTCCAAACGAACTTGGAATTTGACCAACAAAATTACGGGAATAGAGTCTGAGGTTTCTTAGATTGGTTAGAGAACCAATGAAATCAGGAATTTGGCTCCCATTGAAATCAATGAATGCAAGGTGCAAATACGTTAAAGAAGAAGGAGCAGGGAGCCAATTGAGATTTTCTGGTTGAAGCTGATTACCGCTGAGGTCGAGATATTGCAATTGCTTGAGGTTTCCAAACGAACTTGGAATTTGACTAGCCAAATTACAGAAACTGAGACTGAGGTTTCTTAGATTGGTTAGAGAACCAATGAAATTTGGAATTTGGATCTTATTGAAATCAATCCGTGTAAGGTACAAATATTGTAAATGCTGCAACTCAATCAGTTTAGGACTAATCATCTTAACTTGGACAGAATAAGGTTGAAGTTGAATCATCTTACCAGGGAAATAATATCCAAGATAAAGTTCAATCACATGGCCAGTTTGGTTGCTACAATAGACTCCTTCCCATCTGCAACAATCTTGTTTTTCGGCTTCAGAACCCCAAGAAGAGAGATAATTGAACTCATCCACCAGGCCACGTTTGAATGCAAGTAGTGCTTGCCTTTCCCTCTCTATGCACCTCACTGTCACTTTAGCATCTCTGAGGCTGTGGCTGTGGTTGTGGCTGTGGCCAACTTCTCCTCCTTTTACGTTTTGTAGGAAAAGGATCGATAATGCAAGAAAGAGTTTGAAGCACCTTCCGTCGCCCTTCATGTTAATTGATCAAAAGCACATGCACATGCAAAAACACTGCAAGTGTATATTGATATATGCTAGCTTGCATCAGATATATATAGGAAAAAAGGAAGAAAGCTTTTACAAAGAAAAACACCTGGAGCACTGTAGAATTTTCAAAGACTTTTAAGTCTCCACAGCTATATGTAACTCACACGTCAAGTAGGTGTTGGCTGTCCAATTAGACTAGTTAGAAATGATGAAGAGTTTGCAGGGAAAGATCTACTAAGATATCTTTTGCTGGAAAAAGGAGGATGATAGATGTCGTGTTCATACTACTATTTTTTAATTTCGATAAAAAAAAGTACTACTTCTAAAATTGTGGGTTAATTTTTTTAATATAAAAATAATTGTGTACGTTCGGTGACATAGCATGTTGTTTTGCTGAGTAGTGACATAGCTCAATGATGCTCTCATACCATGCCATGCGGACAACCACCCCGTATGATTCAATTTCAAATACATATGGATGTATCATTTAGAAAGGAAAAACATTTCTCGTAACGGAAATAGTACTATTTTGCTATCTCCACAATAATGCTTGAAAAAATTATCCTAAGTGGTTTGAAACATTTACTAGTATACCTTGTGATTAGTGTGGTAAACAAGTTTAAGAGGAAACGTTTCAAGATGGAGTAATATTTTTTTTTTATAGATTTAAATAAAAATATTTTAGATGCAAAGGAAATTACTAAGACAATGAATGCAGGATATGTGGAAACACATATTTCACTGGTCAATAAAAAAATGACAAGTGAAAAAAAGATATTCCACAAATCAACTAATGCAGGGAGCTTGCTGTGGACAACTATCTTCAAGTAGACTTTGAAGTCTTCGTATGCAAACTCATGATGACTGACTCACACAAAAAGACTCTTAAGTCTTTTCCATTCTTTGGTTCCACAAAAAGACTGTCAAGTCTACATACTTGAGTGTAAACTAAACTTTTAAGTCTTTGCACATCCATATTTAACTCAAACGTCAACAAAAGGTAATTTCTTTATTTCCTTTTGCTTTTTTAATTGCTCAATTACTTTAATTTACCATTTTATGTTTTTTATTTCTTTGAAAAGCCAATTGGTCGTAGAAACAAAGCTCCAGAAAATTGTTTTTCCACTTGCTAATTTCCCCGAACTCCGAAGGCCAAGAAGTTGCTTGGGAATCTCTTTGGAAAGCGTGTCATTGTAGTGTTTTCAAATGAAAGATTGAAAAGTGAATATGAAGGACACGGGTAAACAAAAGGAAGAGATACTCACCACTTTAATTCATGTCACTTTGTGGAAAAAGGTAATTGAAGAAAGATTTGTCGGTGGTACAAGTAAACAAGTAATAAATCAATGAACATTGGGGAAATTAATGGATGAGATCGAAGACTTGTGACTTAGATTTGATATGGTGATTTGCCTTCCAACACGGGCTCTAACTCACTTGCAGGTACTGACTCGACTTGACTTGGCAAGGTGCCTTCTCATGTTCACTCAACCATTGGCTTTGCATCCCATCCCCATGGGTACAAGTTACAAATATTTTCGTGCAAATGTGGACTTGACTTAAGTGAAACATATGGAAATATCTCTACTCAACCATTATTATTATAATACCTATATATTTATTGATACTAATAAATGAATATTGGGTTTTTATTCAACAAACTACAATATAAGAGTTTCTCAAAACACTTTGGTTATTGACCAAGTCTATTTTGAAATGCCCCTATAATTTAGATTGATATTAGATGGGTCTTACGATTACACAAGAAAGTTTCTCGTATTATAGTTATGATCACGAAACACTTAAGTATATTTACTGTTGGATAACTGATCATAGAGTTTCAGAGCAGCTTCCTACATTTTGCATTCGGATTCTTTGATTTGATTTGTTTTGTTGCTCGTTAAATAATTAGTATATGAATTACTCACATTCCTGTTCTTCTGAACTCTTGTGGTCCAAGGAAATTATGGTCACCTACCCTTGGATATAAATTATAATCTAAGGGTGATTAAAAAAACAAATTTAAAAATTAAACAAAAACTAAAATAAAATTTATTTTAAAAAAAATTAGATTATAAAAATAAATAAATAAACTGAAGAGTAAAACACGCTTCCAGTGAAGCAAGAGAGCTTGGGTAGTGAGATGCATTTGGGTTTTTTTTCTCACCATACCCAACCCATATGAGAGAGAGGTGCATCAGAGACATGGGCTGGGTTTTTTTTTTTTTTTTTTTTTTTTTTGTGCAAAGATTTTTTTAAAAGATTATGTTTAGATTTTTAAAGGTGGATGTGGAGTTGGTCGTCCATATCAGTCTTGATTTTCTCCATGTGTATTAAAATTTAGAAATTTATTCATATTCCCTATGCTTGATCTTTTTTGTTTTTATCAGCAAGGGGAAATAGAAGTTTTAATTTAGGACCACCAGGAAAAAAAAAACACAGAGATCAATCTTCCTCCTCCTTATGTCAATCTTCCTTACTAGGTATTTGATTTTGCTATATTGGTTGGGTTCGTTGTTTCTTGTTATGGAGGAAAATGGTGTGTGGACTTTGATGTTATTTCAAAGGCCAAAAAAAGATTGAAGAGAGAAAAAAAAGAAGAAGGAAAGTCATGAAAGAAGAAGAAGATGTCATGAGAGAGAATGTTGATGCTTTAGGGAAGATGTGAAAACATAAATGAGGAGAGAGAAAGTTGAATAGCAAAGTTAATTAAATTAAATTTTAATTAAAGAATTAGTTTGTTTAATCTCAGCCATTTATTGTAGTCTAATTTAATAGTTCAAAATTTGTGTCAAAACTTGTGTCAAAAATATGGTGCCACAGATCCATCTCCATATCCCCATATATATATAGTTCCCTTCTATTGAGGGATCCCTCAAATAATTTTATTTGAGGGACACTCTTTAGGGTACCTTACAATTTTTTTTCTCAATGATCCAAACTATATATTTTTTAGGTATTCATTCATAGATAATCCTTACAAAAAATTAGACAAATCAGAAACCGTTTTGATATCCAATTGTGTCTTACAAAATCAATGAACACGGTACATCAAGAAAGTACTAACATTTCAATAACTCAAATGAGTGGTCAAATAATAGGATTTAAGTAATTTTTTCTAGAGATGATCTTTGAATGAGTATCTACAAAATAGACGGTTTGGATTAGTGAAATACAATCCGGAGTAGGGCATACAAAGGGTGTCCCTCAAATAAACTTATTTGAGAGATCCCTCAATGAAAGCTCTCTGTATATATATATATATATATAATTCTATCCAATTTGCCATTCAGCTAAATCCCGAGATAGAGAAGAAAATGGAAGAAGCTCCTGAACAGCAACACGAGGGAAAGCAGGATTCGAGCCTTTAAAAATCCTCACCCATTTAATTTGTCCTCTATTATTCTTGTAATTCTTAACGTGTCATCGTGTATGATGTGACTATTCCCCCCTCTTTCCCAATTTGAAATGGTTCAACTGCCAATCTGCAGGCCTCTCGATTTTATTCTTGATGATATTGCAAAGTTAAGGAAGTTAGTGGCCCAACGCGTGATGATCCTAATAGGTTTCCAAAGTTCATCTTCAGAATGATGATGAACCATCTTGAAAACAAAGATAGTGTATGTTCCTTTTTATTGCTCTAGACACAACTGGGTTCACATGCTATAGCTTGTTTATAAATCTTGTAATCACTTTGAAACTTTGTATCTATGATTGTTGTAGGATGCTGGTGGTGAAGACGTCGGGACATCGATCTGAGAGGAGGTAATGAAATGGATTCTCATAATTCCAAGTTTACCTGGTGTTCTTTAGAAGATTTTGCTCATCGAATTTCGATTGTTTCGAACATTAGACATATGTTGTTTTAGGCACATAAAATGTTGTTTGCTCGTGAACCATTATTAGGTTCCACTAATCAAATCTAAAAGGAAAGAAAGTGACACTAGTTTGATGCAAAGTGGGAATAGAATAGTTCCCGGAGTCTGAAAATTTGATCTTTCTAGTCTGGTTAGGTGGATATGCTGATTTGAAATGCATGTTAGAGTTTGTACTGAAAATTTTCAGGAGCAGTCGGAGGTGGATGTTATGGATCTGGATGAGGATCCTCAATTATGGCCAGAAGAGGTGAGGAAATAAAATCTATGTATTTGGTAAACTTTATTAGCTTGTTTTTGTAAATGTAGCAGTCACTTTCTTTTTCTTTTTTTTGGTGATGCTCCTTATTCTAATTGGATGATATATGCCAATTTGAAAAAATCAAAAATCAAAATAATGCTATGAACTGAAACAGTTTTGTATTGGAATTTTGCAGCTGTATGATGAGTATTACAAAGAGGAACAGGAGCTATTTTTCTGTTGGTCTGCCATTTCGTCTCAAATACGTAGGAATAAAAAGTCAGTTTGCATGTTGCAAGGAGAAGCTAAAAATAGATTACCAAAACAAACCCATACGTTAGTTAAAGGACACGGCACTTCCTTAAAATTAGAACTAAAGTCAAATACTTGGCGTTAGTGTTCAAACAAGAGAAACCAGGAAGCAAGACCACAATGTCTATGATCTGCTACAGCTAGAAATTAAGCTAGGCATAGTGACTCTGCATTGACTACAAGTATGATAAAATTTTTCTCCATACAAGAGCCCACTCTAATGGGAAAAAGTTTAATTCCATGAAACGATGTGTGAATGTGGATGGGATTGGTATTCTTGCCTCACCCTCTGCCTAGTACCATCATTGCCCCGTTAAATATTTTATTTTAAAGTATAAGATTTCGAGTATTTTAGCTATAAAATTTACTTAGATGATGCTGCTCGTGGTTATCCTCCTGATTTTGGTAGCCATTATATTTGTATGCTACATCGACATATTTGTTATAAAGTGTAGGGTCACGTTAATATAGGTCCTTGCAATTCAAAAACTCTAGACCATAACCCATCAATAATAAAACCTTTAAATAAAACCCAATTTTAAAATGGCTTATTTATTGTAGTGCCCCTTGAAACTTCGATCAAATCTCACTTTACCCCTTCAAAGTTAGAATGGCCCACTTTCATCCCTTGACCGAGATTTGGTGATTCACTTTGCCCTCTATCGTCAACTCCATTCAAAACTCTGTTAAATTTGATGACGTGACAGGGTTTTTTTTTGTAATTTTGTATAAATGCATCATTACTCACTAATTAAGTGGGTGACATGGCAAGTGGAGCCTACTTCTATATAAATAAAAATATAATTAAATCATTTTAATAATTAAAAATAAAAATAAAAACATATTTACAAAATAAAATTTAAAAAGTAACAAAAAAATTTAAAAAAAAACAAACAAACAAACCCATCCTAGCGTACACCCCCACCCCCATCTCAGCCTTCCGTGCGATCATCCCCAGCCGCCCCCACTTTCTCTTTCTCCCTTCCCCGATACACACCCTCTCCTTCCGCTCATCTTCTCATTCTATTTCCTCAAATTTCATCTCTTCATCAACCCAAAATACAAAATCAAACTTGATAAATTTTGGGGGAGGTAGATAGGTACAGTTGCTTGTGGCCTGCAAATCGAGGCTTGGGTCTGAGGCTAGATACAGTGGCTTGAGTAATTCTGGAAAAGTTTGGAAATGGTGGACCAACCACTTTGTAGAGAAGGAAATGGTGGCTTGAGTAATTATGTTTTTATCTATGTGGAGTAGGCTCTACTTGAGTGGGTAATTATCCATATATACGAAATTACAAAAACACTCATGCCACGTCATCAAAGTTTATAGAGTTTTGGATGGAGTTGATAGCAGTGGCAAAGTGGGTCACCAAACATCGATTAAGGGATGGGAGCGAGCCATTTTGAGTTTCGCACCTGCGAGAGACTTTCTTTAAAAAAAATTAAATTTATTTTAAAATTAAAAAAGATAATAGGTAGCTGTGTTCCATAAAAATAGGATTCATTATTTGATTTTTCTTTTAATTTTAATTTTTTATATATGAAAAAGTGTGAATTTATCATATTATCCTCATTTAATTAATAATTTCAATTCTTAACGTTTGCATTAACTAAGGGCATTTTTTGATATTTTGAATGTTTTATCATTCTCTGCCTTTTGCTTTATATATATAGATAACTACCCATATTATCTTTTCTTAATTCTAAAAATAAAATAAAAAATAAAAAAATAAAACCAAGTGAGCATGTGCCAAAGCACTAGTATATATAATACATACTCTAAATAATCACACCACTGAGGGATATATATATATATATATATTGAAAATATAGACCAGGTATGCTATTTTTAATAACCTAAAAATTATTGTGACCATGTCAACTCAAAAATAATTTACCTATATTCTACATATCTAATACAGGGTAAATTATCTATATAAAAAATACGTAAATATTTATAAAGAAAAAAGGTACATTAATTATGAGAAAATGGGTACATTATTTCTTATATAATAAAAAAAATAGAAACGTTACTATTAAAATTAGTTCTATAAAATAAATAGGTACATTATTTATGAAAAAATAGGCACGTTATTTATAAAAATAAAAAAGGGTACCAATTTACCTATATTTTGTAGGTATATGAAGTTTAGGTTTTTTCTACTTAAGAGTCGAGCGTGGGTTCAACAAAAAATAAGAATCTAAGGTGGCGTCTTGTAACCTGTAATGAGGAGAACTCTCTAGTTATAATTTACAAAAAGGAAAAAGGAGCTCTTAGATATGTGTCCAATTTCACTTATGTCATCAGAAGTGGACTATGCCAAATTTTCTAAAAAGAAGAAGAAAAAAGCTATACAACGTACAACTGACTCTTATTCATGTCACTATGTGGAAAAAGATAATGGAAGAAAAATTTGTCAGTGGTCCAAGTAAAGAAGTAATAAATCAATGAATATTGGGAAAATTAATGGATGAGATTGAAGACTTGTGACTAGACTTGATATGGTGATTTGCCTTCCAACACATGCTCCAACTGACTTGCAGGCATTGATTCGACTTGACTTGGTAATGTGCCTTCCCATGTCCACTCAACCATTGACTTTGCATCCCATCCCCTGGGCGCAAGTTACAAATATCTTCTTGCAAATGTGAACTTGACTTAAGTGAAACATATGGAAATATCTCTACCCAACCCAATATTAATATAATATCTATATATTTATTGATACTAATAAATGAAAATTGTGTTTTTTTCAACAACTATAATACGAGAGCTTTTCAAAGCACTTTGGTTATTGACCAACTCTATTTTGAAATGCCCCTATAATTTAGGTTAATATTACATGGGGTCTTATGATTACACACGAAAGTAGATTATACCAAATTTTCTGAAAGAGGAAGAAAAAAACCATACAACGTACAACCGACTCTTATTCATATCACTATGTGGAAAAAGATAATTGAAGAAAACTTTCAGTGGTCCAAGTAAACAAGTGATAAATCAATGAATATTGGGGAAATTAATGGATGAGATCGAAGACTTGTGACTTAAACTTGATATGGACCATATGGTGATTTTCCTTTCAACGCAACTATTGACTTAGACTTGATATGGTGATTTGTCTTCCAACGCATGCCCCAAATGATTTGCTGGTATTGACTCAGCTTGACTTGGTAAGGTGCCTTCCCGTGTCCACTTAACCTTTGGCTTTGCATCCCATCCCCCTGGGCACAAGCTACAAATATCTTCTTGCAAATGTGGACTTGACTTAAGTGAGACATATGGAAATATCTCTACCCAACCCAATATTAATATAATACCTATATATTTATTGATATTAATAAATGAAAATTGGGTTTTTATTCAACAACTATAATACGAGAGTTTTTCAAAACACTTTGGTTATTGACCAACTCTATTTTGAAATGCCCCTATAATAGGGTTAATATTACATGGGGTCTTATGTTTACACACGAAAGTTTCTCATATTATAGTGATGATCACGAAACACTTAAGTATATTTAGTGTTGGATATCTGATCACAGAGTTTCGGAGCAGCTTCCTCCGTTTTGCATTCAGATTCTTTGATTTGATTTGTTCTGTTGCTCGTTAAATGATTAGTAATTAAGCCTTTTAAAATTAGATGTTGTATAGGATAAAATGCGTGAATGTAATTTGATTTATTTACCAATTAATGCATTAAATTACTCTTTAATTGCTGACAATTTTTTAAGTTCTTACAAATAAGAATACAAATCACTTGCTAAAGAAAATTCCTAATACTTTGGATTCGAATCTCTTTATTATGGAGGAAATTAAATTAAGTACACTCTAATTGTTCCATCATAACTTACAGAAACCAAATTAATTATGATGCACGAGCTAAAAAGTAAGATGCAGGAATGACAATTACCGAAATCAAATTAATTATGATGGCTTGGATGAAATGAATGATGATCACAATACTTAAATTAATATTCCACTACTTTCATTCTCAACAGCAACCAAATTGATTTTTGTCAATTGTATGCATTTTTTTTTTTGTTTCCCCATTGTTCGTTCTTTGAGGGTTTTGCTTCTTATCACCCTGTTATTTTAATTTTTAATTTTTTGTTTCTCAATGTTATACGAAGTTTAGGTTTTTTCTACTTAAGAGTCGAGGGTGGGTCCAACAAAAAATAAGAATCTAGGGTGGCATCTTGTAACCTATAATGAGGAGAACTCTCTAGTTATAATTTATAGGTCCAATTTCACTTATGTCATCATAAGTGGACTATACCAAATTTTCTAAAAAGAAGAAGGAAAAAACTATACAACGTACAAATTAGGTTTAATTTATGGCGCATCGATACACCTAGCGCATTGTAGAATTTTCGAAGACTTTTAAGTCTCCACTGCCATATGTAACTCACACGTCAAGTATGTGTTGGCTGTCCGATTAGACTAGTTAGAAATGATGAAGAGTTTGCAGAGAAAGATCAACTAAGATTTCTTTTGCTGGAAAAAGGAGGATGACAGATGTAGTGTTCATACTACTATTTTTTAATTTCGATAAAAAAAAAAGTACTACTTTTAAAATTTTGGGTTAATTTTTTTAATATAAAAAGAATTGGGTACGTTCGGTGCATAGCATGCTGTTTTGCTGAATAGTGACATAGTTCAATGATGCTCTCATACCATGCCATGTGGACAACCACCCTGCATATGTAGATTCAATTTCAAATACACATGAATGTATCATTCAGAAAGAAAAAACATTTCATGTAACAGGAATAACACTATTTTGTTATCTCCACAATAATGCTTGAAAAATTTATCCTACGTGGTTTGAAACATTTAAGTATGCCTTGTGATTAGTGTGGCAAACAAGCTTAAAAGGAAATTACTAAGACAATCAATGCGGGATATGCGAAAAC